AACTCACGACCTTGCGCTTGCCAGGCAGGCGCTTTTGCCGCTGAGCTAAATCCCCAGCCCTAGAAATTTTAGTTCTTAGCTGGCTGACTCCAAGGCAGAGTGGCATGGAAGATGGGCATTATACAGGAGAAATAATTCATGGCAGGCAGAAGGCAGCAAAGCAGCAAAGTATCAAGCAATGATAGCAGCCCTCTTTCTGTTCCTTATATTCTATCCAGGCTTCTTGACTTTAGAGTGGGTAGCACCCACACCCAAGGTGGGCTTTCCCATTATCTATACCTGGAACTATGCCAAATCAATCAGTGGACTAATTGAATAATGAAACATCCTTGATCCTACCATCACACACTTAATCCCAGCATCATACCCTCCAGATGCAGCCACTTCTGAAAAGCCTACCTATGGCCACATGAAGCTTTGGGGGGACATCTAGACACAAGTCAGAATACTCACCCTAGGAAATGAGAAGATAGCTTACTGTGGCTCCCATATTTAACTATGTTCTGACATGAAAGGCAGTGAGAAGTTACTGATGTTTCATGAAAGTGCTGTAAGGAGGAGGGAACACTGAGAATTTGGCAGTGTGTGTGTGTGTGTGTGTGTGTGTGTGTGCGCGCGCGCGCGTGCTAATGACATTAGAGATACCAACTGCCTCCTGTCAAGGTCAAAGTTATTATTTGAAGAATATGAGAAGAATAGGGCTCATGGCTAAGAAAATGAACCAGAAGGGTACATTCGAAAGATAGCAAAGTAGCACTTGGACAGTAACAGGTAGAATCCAAGGCAGTAACAAGTCTAGGGCTCAAGGTTATGGCCATGTGGGTATAGAGATCAGAGGAATAGGAAGAGCCATACATGATCTAAGGTTTCCACTAGTACATGAAACCTCAGCTTTATACATTCCACAATGACAGTATAATGGACAAAACATGGCTCTGTGGTCAGATCAATTTAGGACCTGGTTTTCTTGCTAATTGAAAGCCTTGGCAAGTTTTGAAGCTTGTATGAGCTTCAGCTTCCTTATTGTAAAATGAGAATAGACTGTGATTCACAGAATGTTATGGTTTTGGGTCCCCAAAGCTCATGTGTTTGGGTGGTAATTGGATTACAAGGGTATTAGAGCTGACTTGGTATTAGCAGCTGGTCTGCAGCAAGAGTTGGGTTGATGAGAGTGTAATCTGGAAGGGTATCTGGCTCTTTTCTTGACTCTTCCTGCTTCCCTGCCATCATGATGTGAGAAGTTTTTCCTCTGTTATGTTCCTCTGCCATGCTGTCCTGGTTTGGAGCCAGTGGACTATGGATTGAAACCTCTACAAACTGTGAGCCAAAATAAACCTTTCTTCCTTTAAATTGTGGGTGTCAGGCATTATGTTTCAGTGATGAGAAAGTAACTAAGATGCAACATTGCAGTGGTAAAGCTTGCATGACATAGCACAGGCCAAGGGCTGACACTGTGCCTTGGCACATGTGAGTGCTCCATCAAGGTTAGCTTTTATTACTAAGAGCCCATATTAATTGAGCATCTATAATGCGTACACACTATGACCCATGTAAGGATTTAAAGAGGAAATAGACGTGATCACTGTCCTGATGCCAGTCACAGTCAGACACTATCTCTGATATTGGGAAGTAGGAGGAAAATGTTCAAATGGGAAAGAAAGCAAGGAAGGGGAAGAGGGAAGGAAAGGAAGGAAAAGGAAAAAAGAGAATAGAAGGAAAAGTGGTAATAAAGCTTTCGTAAATAAGGAAGGGAAGAAGGGTTGAAGGAAGGGGATGGGAATGGGGAAAGAGAAGAGTCAAGATATACTATGTATAGGCACAAATTCCCTATGATGAATGTGATCATTATGTATATCTAACATGTAGCAATAAAATTAACTAAAGAAAAAGATACTAGGGCCAGGGGTGGAATGTTATGGTTTGTGTCTGGATGTCCCCCCAAAGCCTCATGCACTCATGGGGCGAGCTTCTAGTGGTTATGATTGATTCATGGTACAATGTTGGGATTATGGGTGTGAGTGCTACACCTGCCCTGGTGTGGGTAGTTTGCATACAATGTAAGGGAGGGAAAGAGGCTGCTTGCCAGCACTCCTCCTCCCTTTTGCTCTTGTTGCTTTGCTATCTTCTGCCTCCATGAACTATTGCCCTCTGCCATGTGCCACTCTGCCTTGGAGCCAGCCAAGTATGGACTGACACCTCCACAAACTGCAAACTAAATAAACTTTCCTTCCTTAATTTTGCATGTCAGGTGTTTTGTCTTAGCAATGAGAAAAGTAACCAAGACAGCATATCCTATGGTGTTTCTCTAAATTAACTAAAACAATACCTCTCTTGGTGCAGGCCAAGAAAGAGCTATAGAGCTCTACAGCTGTATTTCTCCTCACTGGCTATCTATACGTCATCATGATGGGACCAAGTTATTATTAGAAAATAGATATCTTGCAGATCAATCTATAGCCCTGGCTTACATGTGGCTTGCATTGTCCATCCCTCAGAGATAGCATTTATTTCCTTTTCTCTCTTCTTTCTCATGGTCTACTCAAAGCAAGGAACCCAGACCCTCTAGACACTTGCCACATCAAATAGACCTTAAATATGCCTCAAGAAAAAAACCCTCAGAAATCTCATTTCATTTAAATATGTGAGTATAGCTTTAGGAGATACTTCCCTATATTTGAAACTCTTCTCTATCACCTGAATTTGTCCCACTATGGGATAGAGAGTTGGATGCTCTAAGGAAACTCTGAGATTGCTTTATTCTTCTCTGCTCTCTTTCTTACACAATAACACTAATCCCTGTACTTTCCTTCATGGCTATGATGTTACATGAGCGAGGAGAGCAGAAAAGGAGTGCAGAAAATGAGTGTTTCTTCATGAAGACTATCTGCACTTGAACCTGGGCTTCTGGACCTGGAGCCTGGAAGGTGGTAGCTGCACGGTAAAAACTTCTCCAGGATATTTGACCAGGATGCTTTCCCTAAGGACTCAGAAGCACATTTGTCTTCCTTCTCCTTTAAGGGACTGAGTGCCCTGCCAGCGGTAATTTCCTGGGTCACTAGATAAACTTTAGGAAGGTTAACTTGGGTTTCCTAAGGCCAGAGAAGCAAACAAGAAAGAGGTTTCTTAAGCTCCACAATAGGCCAAAAATGCAACAGAAAGTAGAGAAGAAAAATTTTGTAGGTGAAAGGGAATTGCAAAGTAAGAGAGGAAATATCTGTACAATCAGCTGGCATCCTTAATTTGAATGTGCAAGAAAATTTTGCAGTATTTGTTGCTGGGCCTGATATCTGGATCTTTGCATACTCTTACTTTCTTTTCCTAATGTTACTGAAATGAGATTTGGCCAATTCTAGAAACTGCTATTTTCTCTCTGTCAGATTCCTGTTAACTGGTTGCATTTCAACACATGAATGCTTTTGGATGGTATGTAGACCCTGGGCATCTGCAAAGCTTGATGATTTCGAGAAAGAGAGACACAAATCTCTGAGCTCATGAGCGGAGAAACATTTGAATGATCTCCTGGCTTGCTCCCAAAGAACACGTTTCTCATCTCTTGCCTCATCTCACAGGTTAACTGCCTTTTCAACTTGAACTGAAGTTCAATCTATCACATTATGGTGATTTTTCTTTTCCCTACATATAAACTAGTTTTGATTAAAAGAATAAGAGCAAAAACAACAAAATACATTTATGAAAGTTCGTTAAGACTGGCACTGGATGAAGAACCATAGCAATTCAAGGATCAGGGTGGGTAGGAGTTCCCTAGCTAAGGGAGTTGCTGCCCTACACCACCTCCAACAGGAACAGGTTCAAATCCAGATGACTATTGCATTCTATAGACCTTTGTGGTTGTTTAAGAGTAGTCTAAATTCCCACAATTCCTTCCTATCCATGATTTATCTTTGCGTGTCCAGACCACAGGTTCCAAGGATGACAGTGCCCTTCATGAAACTCCAGGCAGAGGCAGGAATAGCAGGAGTATGGCAGTAATAAAAGTGACTGTGAAATAATACAGGATGTTTATAATTATGACTCTGGGCCTACTGAAAAATCAAGGAAAGATAAACCTCATATCTATTCATGATTCATGTCATCCTGATTATGAATTAGCTTCGAGACAATGTTTAATGAAAGATAAATGTGAAGTATAATTTTGAAAACAAGAACAGAAGATCAAAAACTATGCATAAGAAAGTGAAAAGCTTACCACAAACATACACTACTGTGTAACTACTATGATGGAGTATGACACTGGGTTCAGAATTTCCTGCTAGCTAAAGCAAACAGGAAAAGAAAACCAACAAGTGACTCTTCAGGAGAGATAGTCCTTCTCTTGGTTAATACTGTACTTATAGATTCTGAAATAAATTCATAATGTGGGAGTTATGCAAAAGGAATCCAATGACATAGCGGACCATGCCTCAATGGTTTTTACAAAGCAACCTAAATATTTTATATATAACTATTTACCATGTTTTATTTTAATATCTTAACTACAACCATTAAAAATAGTTGTAAGTTCTGCTTCAGGGGAAAAAAGCAAAATAAATAAATGTCATTAAGTCATGGGGAGCAAGAGGAATGGGTAGAGATATAAGTGGAATAAAAATGTCAGGATGCTGGTAACTGTTGGAATTGGATGGAAGGTACTCAATGGCCCATAGCAAGTACTATTCTATTTACTTAGTATGTATTAAAAAATTTCCATAATGAAATATTTGTAGAAAAAATAGGTGAAAGTATTTGGCAGCCATGGAAGTTGAGCCAATATGTCAACCAAGAAGACCATGTTTTATTTGGTGAAGTTAAATAGACATGATTTTATTCTGGATCTTTGGAAATTAGTTAAGTAGGTTGTGGTGCACTTGATAATATTGAGGACCAACCCCAAAACACTAGATTTTTCTACATAAGTGTGCATATGCCCAGCTAAGCACGGTAGCAGGTTACTGTTACATCTAAGACAGTAAGGAGAGGAGGAGAAAGGCAGATTCAGATACCTTCACTGCAGTTCTTCAGGGCAAAGAAGTCCACTGCAGACAGGCTTCGGTTTCCACTGGAGATATATTCCAGGGCCACTCGGAAGGGGTTCTCTGGGCGCCCGATTCTTCCTTGCAGTACCGTCCAGCTGGTCACATTGGAGAGCAGAGGAGGAAAGTATAGAGAAAGAGTGATCAGAAGCAGGCTTCACCTGCAGAGAGGCCCTCACTCCTGCAGTGACTTTGGGGCTTACAGCTCCATGGGCACCCCTTGAGGTGCCGAGGATGTGGAGAGAAACATGCAAACTTTGCTCCCTTCTTGTCCAGCTAACTAACTTAGAAATGTGATTTTCGAACTCAAGCCCTTGGCATTTCTTTTGCCATATTATTTTAAATCATCTGTAGATCTTTGAACTCTTTCAGTAGCTAGTCTTATAAGGGAAAGCGACACATACTTGAGAAAAAGCAGCAGCAGAGTCCAGGAAAAGTTTTCAAAATATTTATCAGCCTACTCATAATTATCTCTGGAAAGAATACTTGGCTTTTGAAATTTTATCTGTGTCAAAGTCTCAGAACCCTCAGGTGTTGTATATAGTTCCCTAAGGGAAGTTAGCAAGAGTTATTTATTTACTGAAGCAAAATTAAAGTGCACCGAAGCATGTATTTTGGGGTAAAAGGTACCTAAGATTGACGTGGACTTTGTAAAAAAGTGCAAACAGAAGAAGATGGAAGCAGGTCAAACGGTGGGCTCTGCATCCACCTGTAATCAAGGATACTGACACCATCAGAGAATAGGGAATAAACTAAATGAACACTTTTACACCTTGCTCATGCTATTAACCTTTTAGGATAGCCTCCTGTCACTGATTGGAACATCAAATTTATTTTATCAACACACACGCACATACACACACACATATATAGTATACATAGAAAATTTTGTCTCTGTATAAAAATTTATACACATACAACACACAAACACAAGCTATTTTGTGTGGTAAACGGAAAGTACTTGTACTATTTCATATTTTCTTTCCTCAAAAAACCAATTTCAGTGACATATAGTAAATTACATGTACTAAAATGAATAACTTGATGAATTAAAGTGTATAAATTGGTGAGTTGGGGCTTGAGTATACAATGCACCCATGAAATCATCACATTTTCTTATTTTCTTATGGCTAGGCTTAGGCATGGCAGTATAAGCTGTAAGGGATTTATGGAAAAATCTACATTTCCCCTACGTCTTATTTACAATTTTTGATCTTGCTCCCAAAATGTAAAGTAATGATCACGGTAAGAAACTTCTTAAAACTCAAGAAATCAGAAAAGTAGGTAAAAGAAGATAAGTTACCCATTGTGCAGCTATAACCACAGTTACTACCTTGGCGAACAACCCTTTGACTGTCATTGTACATAAACAAGACCATCCTACATAGGCTTCTATATGATTCCACTCGCCCAGTCAATGATGTGTCATAAACAATAAATACAGATTATAACGTCATTTACTTGATGATCTTTTTAACAAATGTGCATTGCTTCTGATTTCTTCTGTGCATGATCATGCTGAAGCTAACTATGTATGCTCATCTCAATACTGCCTTAGGGCAAAGTCCTAAATCAGAGTCAGAGTGTATGCCCAGTTCCAACTCGGAAGCATATTGTCAGTTCTCCCGCAGAATCAGAAGGCTCATTTCCTCAGTTACTTGCTAACACTGGATCCTGCCAAATCTTTCTTGTCTCTGCTAACTTTTGGCGAGGAAATTATTATTCAAGGCAATCACTGACCTCTCAAGGGGGTGCTGTTGGATGGCAGGTTTGTCTCTGGTCCCTGGCATGCGGCTGGGCATGCAGTGGGGATGTACTGAATGAAGGAGGTACTTTGCTCTCTCTCTCTGTGCTCTTCTGTAGTTAATTCAGATTGCTGGAGTCAACTCTTCAGCCGTTTAATAAAAGTGTATTAAGTTTCTCCACAATAGATGCTGTAGAAAGGCTTATTGCTGCTGTAAAGTTTGTTCTGTTACTGTACCCAGAAGAATTTCTATCCAAAATAAAACCAGTGCAACTGAATGAGGAAAAGGAGGCCTTTCAGTGTAAGTGTGGTACTGTCAAAGAAAGAAATATCTGAAAAGAAAATGTAAAAGAGGGGTTCCTAAGGAAAACAAACAAACAATTTGTCTTGTCCTGAAACATAAAGGACCCTATTTTTGAGGAAAGATGGTAGCAAAAGGCACGAGTATTCATATTCTGCCAAAAGCATAGCTCTCTGCTCCAAGGAATGATGGATTTTAATTCCAGGTACACAGTGGCCCTCGACAATGATTTCCATTTCTATATTGGCACTAGCCCTCTGGATAAATGTGTCAAGAGTTTTAGGAATTAGTTTCTGAGTTACCGATGCAATAACTTTTGTCTGAAATTCTCTGGCCTCCCATAGTTTACTGCTGCAACTTTAATAACTTTTAGAGCAGTTGCCAAACATGTAGTATTTTTTATCCAGGGAAGCCGGGACTAGAAAAGGGCAAGCTTATACCTAGGGTCAGATTTGTTTAAGGGACAGCCAAAAACAGGGAAAAATGAATGCAAGCTCTCTTCTCCACCTGCCTCCATTTTTTGTTTACATCCCATTGCTCATGGAACTAGCTCATTAGGGTTCTGCTTGCCGTGCTTTGCCAGGTGGCAGCTCTGCTTACACTTACAAGGGCAGTAGGTTGTATTCTGACCTACAGCCTCCTAGAAACAAACGTGCAACTGAACCCTTGTGCTGGGGATTTGTGACCGTGTTAGCACTGGTTTCTCGATCAATCAATCTGACGGTGTAGGATGTCCACCTGGAATGTAGGAAGCCAGAAGGACTCTATGGACAGCCTGTCACAGTCCATTATCCTCTGCATGTCTCTCTGGAGCTCTCTAGTTCCAATTTTGCCTCTACTCCTCATCTGCCTGATAACTTTTAACAGGCGCTTTTCTCCAATGCCCAGAAATTTTGGATGTGTTCTGATCAATTGTAATTCTCAGGCAGAGAAAGTGCTTCCAAATTTGAATGAATTTTCTGAGGAAAACAGGGACCACCCACTTCAGGTGAATGACTACATCATGATGAACACATTAGAATCTACTGAAGAAAGGAGAGTTGGTCTGTGAATGTCAAGGCCCATTTCTGACCTAGAGGTCAGAGGTAATATTCACTGAATTGGCAACGGAGTCTTAGATTCTGGTCCTGGGTTTCCTTGAACCTGGGAAGACATGAACCTCCTTGGATTTTAATTTCCTTATCAGCAGAATGTAGGCACTGAAAGAAAAGTTCTCTAATGACCCTTATGGATCTGATGCCTATACTTCTGTGTGAGATTACAGGAGTCCTAGTGACAGAACATTTTATGAAACCCTGGAAACTGCAATTAACAAATAATATCTCACAGCGATGAGAGAAGAGGGATTAGTCGTAAAACTACAGATCTATTTATGCAGAGGTTCCATTCCATCCTTGTTGGAGAAATGGAGACTTACCTGAGGTCACAAATTGGGTTTCCTATAGACCTAAAATTAGTATTCCTCTTAGACTGCAAGAACGTGAGACAGTACAACATATGGATCACTTGCATTTCACAATCACTTGCATTTCATATCATAAGAGATAGAGAAGGTTATATCTGCATAGCATTACTGAGAATGGGGTCACCAGTCTGGGTTTTGAGGAGAGACATTCCAGCCAGACAATGGAATATGCTGTCAAAAAATTCACAAAAATATCGTAAGAATTTCTGACATGGAAACAAAAAGAATCTCTAAGCCCGCCCTCCAGGTTAGTCTCCACATGTTTAAAGAAAACTGTCTGGCATGTCTGATGTAAGACAAGCTACTGATGAGGCTGAAGGGTTGGCAGCCATGATTCGAGAGAGTGAAGGCACCAAGTTATTTTAAGTCCAGAACAAAGGGGCAGTTCGTGACAGCACACGAGGCCATGCATGGCAGGTAACAAGACACAGAATGTGTCTTACTTTGCTGTACAGTATCCCAATGGGCAGAATACTGATATCAGCTGCTTCTCAAGAGGAGCCTTCTAACCCTACAAGGTACTTACTGGGATGCCTTTTGGAGATAGTTTTGGCTGCTTCAGTACAGTGAGGGCTGCACTTGGTCCTCAGCTTTACTCTCTACTAGCTATGTGACCTTAGAGAAGTGATTTAACTTAGTTGAGTTTCTGTTTGCCTTACATTAAAGTTGGAGGTCATAATGCCAGGGTTGCTGGATTGTAGTGAGGATTTGTGAGTAAGATGCACGCAAAGTGACTGGAGCAATTTCTTGTACATAGTAGGGCCTCAATAAAGTGAGCTATTCTTATAGGACTCCACAGCCTTCTTCATGGAGCCATGCAAATATCTATACCTCCTCTCATTTATAAAATTCAAGGTGGAAAAGGAATGTTAGTTGATAAAAGAGGATGGGAAAGGCATTTACAATTTCTAAATAGCAGCCACCATATTTTTTTTAACCAGCAAAGAACTTAGTTAAATGGATCTTCATATGAAAAACAATCTCCCAAATTATGTTGGAATATCTCCATAGGAAGATATATTGGATTATGATAGCAATCAACATTCTTCTCAGAACCCTCCAAAGATTCCCATCTCAATTAATGTAACATTTATTTTCTGTCTTCACAGTTTTCTGTATGATATGAAAAGATCCTTTGTGTCTAATTCTAGAGTTGAGTCACATTCCATTTCCCAGGTATTTACTGATATGCTGTTGCACACTAGATAAAGTGTAGATGTTCTGGGTTTAGGATTTGGCTTGTACTCAGGAGTGTACAGACTGATGAAAAATAATACATACCAACATTTAAAGTGAATGGCAGCTGTTTGGAGCTGGGTGAGTGATGCAGGTACTATATGCTATTGAAGCACAGAAGGTGAAATGACGTTTCAGACTGGGAGATCAGGATAGGTGTAATTTGAGGGTGGGTTGTAAGGAGGGGGCAGGAGATGGGAAAAAGGAAATGGGGGAAAAAGATTAGAACAATTGCACAAACACAGCCTCCTAGATAGTATGTATTTAGTGAACAGACAGACTAGTCTTATTGGAGTGAATGTGTTTCACTGGTGTCTACAGGGAGAATAGCCTCTGGATCTTCACTCCTTAC